CAGTATCCTTCCCCTGCCACGCCCACCAAGCCACACCACGCCCACCAAGCCACGCCCACAGAACTGGTAGTAAAAAAAACTGGATTTCACCACCGATGTGAAGCTTAAACAATGCTATTGAGCCTTCCCACTACAGATAGTCCTTCACTTACAACAGTTCGTTTGGTGACCATTCAAAGTTACAACATCACAGAAAAAATTGACTTATGACTAGTTTTCATACCTACGACCATTGCAGCATCCCCATGCCTGGCAACTGACTCGTGCTTATGATGGTGGCAGTGTCCTGGGGTCATGTGAATCTCCTTTTGTGACCTTCAATGGGGAGTCCAGATTCACTTAACAACTGTGTTACACATTTAATAAATGCAGTGATTCACTTGACAACTGTGGCAAGAAATATCTTAAAATGGGGCAAAATTCACTTAACAAACATCTCACTTAGCAACAGAAATGTTACACTCAATTGTGGTTCTAAATCGAGGATTACCTGTAGTTTGGGAGAGAATAAACACAGAAGATTATCTTATTTACAGCAGTGGCCAAAATTGTGGAAACCTTTTGGGAAAAGTGTATTTTATAAAACTAGCTAATAACATCACTTTTTTTTTTTTTGGAGTAGTACCATAAAATTATATATCGATGGAAAGATAATTTAATCAAGAATGTAATGCTATAACTTTTATGAAGGATTTGCTATTGGAATAGCAGGTACAGTATAAAGAAGAAAAGTGAAACTCATAGAAAAAAACGAGATATACAAAAATGATCACCATAGAAAAAACAAGATATACAAAAATTATCACCATGTCAGCAGTGGTGGGTTCCTCCCGGTTCAGCCGAGCCGGTAGCAGTGACGATATGACGTCACCGAACCGGTTCTCCCCCCCGCCCTCCCACCTACGTTATTCTTACCTTTTATTTCGTCCCGCCCCCAATCTATTGCTGCCTCCTGAGTCCCAGCTGATGACTAGAGGGAAAAAAACTGTTTAAACTCTTGCCGCGGGGCTTCAAAGGGCCGCCCTACAGCTGATCAGTGTTAAAAGCAAACAAATGAATCGGGTCGTAAGTGCGAGGACCTTCCAGAAATGACTCTGACCAGCTAGCCACGCCCACCTAGTCACATGACCTCCAAGCCACACCCACAAAATAAGCCATGCCCACAGAACCGGTAGTAAAAAAATTTAGAACCCACCCCTGCATGTCAGTTAATACTTAGTTGAGTAACCTTTAGCATGAATGACGGCCTTACAACATCTTCCCATGGAGTGAACCAAGTCTTTTAGTTCTGCAGCTGTTATAATGTGAAACCAAGATTGAATGATGGCTTATATTAACTGGGTTTTATTGCTGGGTCGCTTCTGACTAACAAGTTTCTCTAATCGGCTCCATAGATTTTCAATGGGGTTAAGGTCTGGGTTATTCCCAGGCCATTCCAGCAGTGGAATAGGATTATCTTGAAACTCCCCCAAAAAAGTGGTGTTATTAGCCATCAAACCTCAAAAATACACTTTTCCCAAAAGGTTTCCACAATTTTGACCACTGCTGTGTGCAAGTTATCCATTTAAACCTGTGTTTGCTCCATCTTTTGCCTCAGCAATTCTCCAGCATCTCAGACAGAAAGTCTTCCCCATGACCTGCTAATGAAACATGCAGAGTGTGACTCCAAAACTGACAAAGATGTGGCCTTCCACCCTTAAGCTTCTCCCTGGCCCATTTTTTTTTTCCAGTCTCGGCATAGGTCAAAAGCACTCATCCATTTCTATAGGCTGAGCTTTTAATGTGTTTTATGCTTAAGGCTGTAGTGCCACACATTTGTATAGGGACAATTGTGTTGGATATAATGGGTGGAGAGGGGGGTGGGCTGGTGGACTTACTGCAGAAAATTCATGGTTGAACCTTTTCCCTCTCAGTGGCATCGCTTGAGAAGGAAGATTGTACAAACCCTGGATAACAACTTTTAATTGGAATCATAGAATTGGAAGAGCTATTTTGGCCACCAAGTCCAATTATCCTTGTTTTTTTTTTTTTTTTTAATTTGATTTATATGCCACCCTTCTCCGGAGACTCAGGGCGGCTTACAATGCACTAAGCAATAGCCTTCATCCTTTTTGTATATTTATACAAAGTCAGCTTATTGCCCCCACAACTGGGTCCTCAATTTACCTACCTTAGAAAGGATGGAAGGCTGAGTCAACCTTGAGCCTTGGTGAGATTTGAACCTGCAGTAATTGCAGGCAGGTGGTCTTAATAACCAGCTTAATAACAGGGTGCCTTAGACCACTGTACTACCAAGGCTCTTGTTTCAAAATCATTCATGTTCTTTCCAGGGTGCAGTGGTGGGATTCAAATTTTTTGACTACCGGTTCTGTGGGCATGGCTTGGTGGGTGTGGTAGGGGAAGGATACTGTAAAATCTTCATTCCCCCCCCCTTCCTGGGGAAGGTTACTGCAAAATCCCCATTTCCTCCCGATCACCTGGGACTCGGGGAGCAGAGAATAGATGGGGGCAGGGCCAGCCAGAGGAGGTATTTACCGGTTCTCCGAACTACTCAAAATTTCCGCTACCAGTTCTCCAGAACTGGTCAGAACCTGCTGAAACCCACCTCTGCCAGGGTGGGATTAACAGGTAGTATTACTGTTCAGAAATGTTTCATTTTTTTAAAAAAGTGTTTTTCCCAGTGGGACCTGTCTACCAGGGCAACTTGGTCTACCGAAATATGGGACAAAGCATACAGCTTCATAAAGCATACAGCATATTTTTGCCTTCCAGCCCCAATCCAAGAACCTTTGCATGCAGTCGCTTTTGCAACAGACTATTTTTGTGTTGAATTGATATTTACCGATAATATTTATATATATTTCTTTTTTTTTTAAGAAAAAAAAGCGTCATAAATTCTTGGGTTTATAACTTCTCATTGTTAAAAACATAAATACGCAATCAATTCTCATTATTCGTGGTAGTTATAGTTTTATAATGTCACCATGGACACTCATTTAGCAAATACTCAACCATTGTTTCTAAGAAATACAAGACATTAGTTTATGGAAAGAGACCTGAAAGAAGAAGGCAGAGAGCATTGTTCAACCTCAGTAGCAATGGAGGCATCAAGCAACTCAGTAGTGGGTTTCAAAAATTTTTACTACCGGTTCTGTGGGTGTGGCTTGGTGGGCATGGTTTGGTGGGTGTGGCAGGGGAAGGTTATTGTAAAATCTCCATTCCCACCCCACTCCAGGGGAAGGATACTGTAAAATCTCCATTCCTCCTCACTTCAGGGGAAGGTTACTGCAAAATTCCCATTTCCTCCCGATCAGCTGGGACTCGGAAGGCAGCGAATAGATGGGGGTGGGGCCAGTCAGAGGTGATATTTACCGGCTCTCTGAACTATTCAAAATTTCCGCTACCGGTTCTCCAGAACTGGTCAGAACCTGCTGAAACCCACCTCTGAAGCAACTCCAATGTTCCCTGCGTGTCCACAAATAGTTGCGAAAGTACTGCAAGTATTAATTTAGGGGTCACAAATAAATGTTAGTGAGTAGGCAAACTCGCAAACATGGAATTCATGAATACTGAAGATTTGACTATATATGTTTTCCAAGGAGCAACATACGAAAGAGTCAAACTGATGCGAGAGTCGGTTAGTGTCATCACAATGACACTAAATGTGAAACTCAATCAACTGAACATTCAAAAATGCATCACAAATACCATTGATTGGTCCTAATGATTGATACTGGTTGCTGCCAGCGTCCTAGGTATCAACCAAGTACCTGCTTAAAATGTACGATGTTCCGAGTAGCGTAGTTTTTTGCAGTTCTGCTGGTGTTATTGCAGGAAGCTACAATTTGTTGGTGTATCTTATAAAATTCTTGGACATGGTACCAAGTGCCCCGATGACAATGGGTATCATTGTTGTTGTTGTTATTATTACTACTACTACTATTACTACTACTACTATTACTACTATTCTTATTCTTATCTTTATCCATTAAAGATGAAACTCAGTCAACTGAACATTCAAAAATGCATCACAAATACCATTGACTGGTGCTAATGGTTGATACAGGTTGCTGCCAGCGTCCTAGGTATCAACCAAGTACCTGCTTAAGATACCTTCCGAGTAGCGCAGTTTTTTGCAGTCCCGCTGGTGTTATTGCAGGAAGCTACAATTTGTTGATGTATCTTATAAAATTCTTGGACATGGTACCAAGTGCCCCAATGACAATGGGTATCATTGTTGTTGTTGTTGTTATTATTACTACTACTATTATCACTACTACTACTACTACTATTACTACTACTATTCTTATTCTTATCTTTATCCATTAAAGATGAAACTCAGTCAACTGAACATTCAAAAATGCATCACAAATACCATTGACTGGTACTAATGGTTGATACGGGTTGCTGCCAGTGTCCTAGGTATCAACCAAGTACCTGCTTAAAATATCTTCCGAGTAGCGCAGTTTTTTGCAGTCCCGCTGGTGTTATTGCAGGAAGCTGCAATTTGTTGATGTATCTTATAAAATTCTTGGACATGGTACCAAGTGCCCCGATGATAATGGGTATCACTGTTGTTGTTGTTATTATTAATATTATTACTACTACTATTATTACTACTGCTACTATTACTACTACTACTATTCTTATTACTATTCTTATTCTTATTACTATTACTATTAATACTATTATTATTATTACTACTATTACTACTATAACTCTTATTACTACTACTACTATTCTTATTCTTACTATTACTCTTATTCTTATTGCTTCAATAAAGACGGTTCTTTCCCTCGCAGCTTCGGCTTTCCTTCCCTCAGAAGGCGCGGGGGCCTGGCTCCTTATCGGAGGCGCGCACAGGGAAGCCAGAAATCCACCCTCAGACGGCGGAGTCGGGGGCTGGGCGGGCGGGCAGCGTCCGACGGCCTTCTCGGGGGCGCGCCCGTCCGTTGGGGAAGAACGGCGGCGGCCGCAAGGGAAGAGAGAGAGAGAGGCGAGGTGCTGAGGCGACGGACGGAGCGGGTCTGGTGTCTCCCGCAGCCTCCCCTCGGAGGGCTTCGCCAGCCGTCCGCCTCCGGTGGTTTCCTTCACCTCCAGCAGCTCCCCGTCTTACGGCAGGCTGGCAAAAGGCGCCCGCCCGCCCGTCTCTTCACACGAAGTTCCGCCACTCAACGAGGCGGACGCGCCCACGGGGAAAAAAAAAAAAACCCGCCATGGACAGCTCCGCCGCGCCAGAGAACCTCACGGGCGCTTGGCTGCAGCCTTTCGCCAGGAACGCGACGCCCGACCCGCGGCCAGGTGCCGGCTCGGTTCCCTCGGCGGCGGCGGCGGCTGAGGCGCTGGGCTTGGCTCCTCCGGAAAGCGGCGTCGAGGCTCCCTTCTGGGACGGCAGGCTGAACCACTGGCTGAGCGTCTTCGTGGCGCTGGCGCTGTGCGTGACCATGCTGGGCTTGGGCTGCACGGTGGAGCTGAGCCAGCTGGGCGCGCAGCTGAGGCGGCCGCTGGGCTTGTTGCTGGCGCTGCTCTGCCAGTTCGGGCTGATGCCCCTCCTGGCTTTCCTGCTGGCCCTCATCTTCGCCCTCGACGAGGTGGCCGCCGTGGCCGTCCTGCTCTGCGGCTGCTGCCCCGGAGGGAACCTCTCCAACCTCATGTCCCTCCTGGTCGACGGAGACATGAACCTCAGGTAAGCGGGCAGGGGGGGAAATCTCAGCAGGTTCTGACGGGTTCTACAGAACCGGTAGCGGAAATTTTTGAGCAGTTCGGAGAACCGGCAAAGATCACCTCTGGCTGGCCTCAGAGTGGGGTGGGAATGGAGATTTTGCAGTATCCTTCTCTTGGAGTGGGGAGGGAATGAGGATTTTGCAGTATCCTTCCCCTGGAGTGGGGAGGGAATGAGGATTTTGCAGTATCCTTTCCCCAGGAGTGGGGAGGGAATGGGGATTTTGCAGTATCCTTCCCTCTGGAGTGGGGAAGGAATGGGGATTTTGCAGTATCCTTCCCCTGCAGTGGAGTGGGAATGAAGATTTTGCAGTATCCTTCTGCCAGGAGTGGAGTGGGAATGGGGATTTTGCAGTATCCTTCCCCCTGGAGTGGGGTGGGAATGATGATTTTGCAGTATCCTTCTGCCAGGAGTGGGGAGGGAATGGGGATTTTGCAGTATCCTTCCCCTGGGGTGGGGTGAGAATGGAGATTTTGCAGTATCCTTCCCATGGAGTGGGGTGGGAATGAGGATTTTGCAGTATCCTTCTGCCAGGAGTGGGGTGGAAATGAGGATTTTGCAATATCCTTCCCCCAGGAGTGGGGTGGGAATGGAGATTTTGTCATATCCTTCCCCTACCAAGCCACACCACGCCCACCAAGCCACGCCCCCAGAACCGGTAATAAAAAAAATTGGATTTCACCACTGTAGGCAGGCCAGGAGAACCGGGAAGGAGCCGGCTTGGGGGTGGAGTGAACCGTCGTGGAGGACAGACGGGCAGGCGCTTCTTGCCTTGCTCTCGGGCTCCCAAACGGCAGCCAGATATGCCACAGGTGTAGCCCAGCCTAAGGGTTGCCCGGCTGCTAAAATGAAGATGAGAGTCTGTCTTGCTAAGGGATTGGGAGGATAGCAGTAGCATTGGGTACAGGTAGTTCATTTAGTGACGGTTCAAAGTTACAACTGCACTGGGGGAAAAAGAGGACGTATGACCGTTTTTTTACTGTTACGCCCTTTCCAGCATGCCCATGATCACAATGATCAAAATGCACATGCTTGGCAATTAGTTCAGACTTGGTTCAGACTTATGACCGTTGCAGTGGGTCATGTGATCCCCTTTTGCGACCTTCTGAGAAGCAAAGTCAATGTGGGGGATTAACAAGGAGGTGACTAAGTTATCAACTGTAGTGATTCATTTAACAACTGTGGTAAGGAAGGTCATAAAATGGGGTAAAACTTTACTTAACAAATGTCTCACTTAACAACAGAAATGTTGGGCTCAATTGTGGTCTTTAAGTCGAGGGCTAGCTGTACAGCTTTGTTTCAACGTTACAATGGGACTGAAAAAAAGGTGACTTATGGCCATTTTTCACACTTATGACTGTGGCAGCATCCCCGTGGTCGTGTAATTTATATTCGGATGCTTGGAAACCGGTTCGTATTTGTGACGGTTGCAGTGTCCTAACAGGGTCACGTGATCACTTTTTGCGACGGTCTGACGAGCAAAGTCAACGGGGAAGCCAAGTTCACTTAACAACTGTGTTATATTAACTTTGGTGACTCACTTAACAAATGTGCAGACAAAAGCCATAAAATGGGGCAACACTTAAACAAATTTCTCACCTAACAACATAATTTGGGGGCTCAAATGTCGTAAGCTGAGGACTACCTGGGAATGCCTTTCCCACATTTTTCAGAGGGGAAATTCGGGAACAGGATGCCTGAGTATCGGGAGTTTGGGTTGAGAACTGTCTGTCCTAACAAGGGAAAGCTTCTTTTACAAGCACTTTCCCCAGATTGGAAAATGTATCATCTGGTGAATACCAGGAGTGTCCTGCCAAATATTGCCTAGAACAATGATGGCTAACCTTTTTCCCATCGTGTGCCAGGAAGCGGGGGAGGCGGGGGGGTCGTGCGCGCACGTGCCCACACCCATAATTCTATGCGACCCCCCCCCCGCTCACCCCGTTCCTGGCACGCAATAGCCTGGTAGGCCCGTTTTTCTTTCTCATCTGGCTCCAGGACCTCTCTAGGCATCTGGGGAGGGCAAAAACAGCCTTCCCCACCCTTCCAGAGGCCAAAAATGGCCCGTTTGACAACTTCCAGTCCCATCGGAAGCTGAGCTCGCGTGCCCACTGATATGGTTACCATATCATAAGTTCCATAAGTTTGTGCCATAAGTTCGCCATCACGGGCCTAGAACCTGATGGATTTGGGTTTTGGAGACTTTATTCCTGGCCCTGAACAAATGAAGTATTTAGTGAAAGTAAAGGGGTGAGGGTTGAGTAAGGGAGGAGATGTCCCGAATATATCCCTATATAGATAAGAAATCTCTCTTTTATTATCTATTTTTTTTGTGAATTGCTAAGCTCATGCTCATTTCTCTTTTCTCTCTCTCCGTTGAAATGTTTTCCCTGCGTTCTTCCTGACAGGTTACATTTTGCTAATGTGCTACTGTTACTGCTCTCATCTTATTTTATCCTTTTTGGATGGGAAAACTAGGATTGAAATATCTTGAACCTTAAAATGATTAAAAAAAAAAAAAAGGTTGGGATACGTCCAGTGTGATTGGAACAGTCAACCACGGACTTACCAGCTGAAAAATAATGTTTCGAGAGCTGGTCGAGCGGGAGGTGATGAGACAAAATTATTTTCTAGAGAATAGGAGTAGGAAAAAACGAGAACCGGAAGCAGAGACAAGTGTCTTTCTGTAAGAACCTTCACCAGAGAGATACAATAGGCCGAGAGACAATTCTGCAAATACTGGTTTTGAGCAAAATAAGTTTCTTGTCCTCTCCCCACCTCAAAAGGCTGCCCCCTCTCCTTCGCAGAGCAGAGTTGGGATGGGCATTAGGTGGCATAGAGGGTACACAGAAAAAGAGCTTGAGTTCTGCACTACTAGTTAAATGCAGCTCCTTCTTGCCAGTGAGAGTAACTGGATCATTCAGGAAAAGAGGAGGAAGAGAAGAGAGGAAGATTTCAGGATGCTGCTTATCATGTGCTCTCGATCCAGTGGAGTCTTCTTTCTTTCTTTCCTGACAGCATCATTATGACGGCATCCTCCACCTTGCTTGCTTTGATCCTGATGCCTCTTTGTCTGTGGATCTACAGCCGAGCTTGGATCAATACCCCATTAGTGCGCCTGTTGCCCTTGGGGGCTGTCACCCTGACCTTGTGCAGCACTCTGCTCCCCATTGGCCTTGGGGTCTTCATCCGCTACAGATACACAAGACTGGCGGATATTCTTGTGAAGGTAAGCTGAGCACAGACCTGTCATATATACATACATACATATATACATACATACATACATACACATATATGTAGGTCTTTGGTTATTTGGGTTTTCTCCCGCGTAAAATTGGAAGTATCTTAGCAACGTTTCAACAAAGTCTCATTCGTCATCTTCAGGCTGGTGTTTTCGGCTTCGTGCTTCTAGGAGCAATGTGTGATCGCAGCTGTTTCTTCCTTTTAACTGCCAGTGGGGGTGTGAACTGATTGGGTGGGAGCTTGGCTGTGTTCTGATTGGGTGGAGGTGTGGTGGAGGCTGTGTTCTGATTGGGTGGAGGTGTGTTCTTCGTTGAAACGTCGCCAAGACACTTCCAATTTTATGCTTTTACGCGTTTCTGGAGAAAACCCGAATAACCAAAGACCTACACACACACACACACACACACACACACACACACACACACACTGTTTTTCTGTCGAAGCACCTGGTCTACCCCAATATGAGAGGGAGTGTACTGATTGCTTGAAGTCCAGAATACAGTATGCATTTGAATATACTCAGGTTTAGTTTTCTTTAAATTCTAGAATTCCAGAATTACATAGTCGTTTCCATGTGACAATTCTGGAACCTCCACTTTACTCTTCCTTACTGATTAATATCAAATCAAGGACTTCTGTTTCTGTTGTGCCTTGCTTTGCTTTCTGAAGCATACAGTTGTTAGCAAGCCATATTCAGAATCACCTGCAGAGCTCATGCTTAGCTGAGTGCATCTCCCAGCAGATGTCAAGGTAATTAAAGACCTTGTCTTCTTGAGTTACAAATTGATTTTGGGAAGCATTTATCTTCTGCCTGATGGAGTGATTGACAATAAACATCAGCCCTTATTAGTCTTGTTTGTCTGCTTATTTTAAGCCGGGAATTCTCGAAGTATAATCAAATTATTTCCTTAGGAATTATGATGGGCCTTTTGTCCTTAAACAAATTGTAACCTAGTTGCTAAATTCAAGTCTTTAAAATGATCAGTTTTCAGTCATTCCAGTTTTTCTTTCCTTTATCAAGACCTAAAGTTCTTTATCTATCTATCTATCTATCTATCTATCATCCATCCATCCATCTGTCTATCCATCTATCTATCTATCTATCATCATCCATCCATCCATCATCTGTCATCCATCCATCCATCATCTGTCTATCCATCCATCCATCCATCCATTTATCTATCTATCATCCACCATCATCTCTGTCTATCTATCTATCTATCTATCTATCTATCTATCTATCTATCATCTATCCATCCATCTATATATCTATCAGCCCTTATTAGTCTTGTCTGCATTTAAGCATCTCGATTCAAATCATCCTTTTGTCACAAATCCTATCTATCAAGTCTTTAAATGATCAGTCAGTCATCCATCTTTCATCCCTAAAGTTCTTTATCTATCTATCTATCTATCTATCTATCTATCTATCTATCTTCATCCATCCATCCATCCATCCATCATCTGTCTATCCATCTATCTATCATCCATCCATCCATCCATCCATCCATCATCTGTCCATCCATCCATCCATCTATCATCCATCCATCCATCCATCTCATCTGTCTATCCATCCATCCATATCCATTTATCTATCTATTCATCATCCATCCATCCATCATCTGTCTATCCATCCATCTATCCATCCTATCTATCTATCTATCTATCTATCTATCTATCTATATCATCTATCCATCCATATATATCTATTTATTCAGCCCTTATTAGTCTTGTTTGTCTGCTTATTTTAAGCCAGGAATTCTCGAAGTATAATCAAATTATTTCCTTAGGAATTATGATGGCCTTTTGTCCTTTAAACAAATTGTAACCTACTGCTAAATTCAAGTCTTGTCATTCCAGTCTTTTTAAAGACCTAAAGTTTTATCTATCTATCTATCTATCTATCTATCTATCTATCTATCTATCATCCATCCATCATCCATCCATCATCTGTCTACTATCTATCTATCTATCTATCATTCGTATTTCTATCTATCTCCATCTAGCTACACCATCTATCTATCATATTTTACTATCTATCAACCTATCCTAGATTTGATCCATCCATAGCAGTCCTATCCATCTGCACCCTAACCATCTGTCCATCGTCTATCCATCGTCTCATCTATCCATCTCACCTGAGGCCAGGACAAAAATGAATGGGTGGAAACTTGTTTTATAAAAAGATCCAACATGGCATTAAGGAGAAATTTCCCGACAGCAAGAACAATTAATCAGTGGAGGAGCTTGCCTCCAAAAGTTTTGGGTATTCATCTCTGAAAGTTTTCAAGAAAAGATTGGACAGCCATTTGTCTGGGGTGGTATAAGGACTCCTGCCTTGGGCAGTGGGTTGGATTAGAAGGCCCCCAAGGTCCCTTCTAGCCCGTTGGCTCTATGATTCGTTCTCAAGGGACCTTGTGAAAAGAAAAGAAAGGCAAAAAACTCTTGGAGTGGACTTTCAAAGTTTTCATTCAAAGGAACAGGTCTCAGTACTGTCACTCGTCTCCTCTTGAGCAATGGATATCTGAAATCTTCGGGGTTTTCACCCCCAACCTGTGACAGGATCTCATTTAAGGATTTGATTTGTGATCACCAGGCTTTGACAAAATTTGCTCTTCCCAGTCCTTATAACTCATCCTGATCCTGGACTCATTCATTCAGAAAGTGCAGATCTGGTTCCTGAAACTAATTTTCTCTCGTTAATACAATTGCTTTAGCTATAAGAACATCATTTGCTGCATCTTTTGGTTCCCTCCCAAATCTTTTTAATAGGAATCCAAAAGGGTAGATGAAAATTATAATCCCAACTGCCAGTTTTTGAGGTTCCTTCTTAAAACCACAGACGTCTACCATAACATAGTTGCAGGTGCTTCTGGCAATCTTGTTTGTTTTGAGGATGATTTAGAGCAGGAGTGTCAAACTCAAGGCCCGAGGGCCAGATCCAGACGGCAGGGTGCTTCGATCTGGCCTGCGGGGCCACCCTGGAAACAGTGAAGGACCATCCTGCTGTGCCTCTACCAGTGAAAACGGAGCTCGGGAGGGCTGTTTCCCGAGCTCCATTTTCACTGGCAGACAGTTGCAAGAGGCCGTCGCAGCCGAAAACGGAGCTCGTGAGGGTCGCAGGCGGCACTCCCAAACTCCATTTCTGCTGGCAGAAGGTTGCAGGAGGCCGTCCCAGCCGAAAACAGAGCTCAGGAGTCCATTTTCGTTGGCAGAGTGCTCGGGCCACCACAGGCGCCCCGATGCAAGTGACATTGAGCTGGCCACGCCCACCCCGGTCCCCCAAGGTCAAACACAACCCCTGATTTAGAGGAATAGGAAGGGATAATACTGAATTTGGAATTTATTGAAAGCAAACAGCCTATTTTAAAATCTAATGAATCCAGTTGATGGTTTCTGTTTATTTTTGTTTATCTCATTATTTCACCTCTCCCCCCCCATATAGGCTTCTATTTATCAGTGAACAATCCTTTTATCTTTAAAATACTTTCAAACTCAGAGAGAAAATTAAACAAAAAACCTCAGTAAAAAAACAAATTTCCCTCCCTCCCTTCTAACTGGATTCGATGCTCTTCTTTTAGACCTGACTCATGCTCATCTCATACCCACTTATAGGAAATCAGAGTAGAGTTTGGATGGTTCTCCTGCATTTAATCCATTTAGGCTGACATTTCCTGCTGCTCTTTGTTCAAGATGAATGTAATGTTAATTATGGAATATTAATCAGGGACAAAAATTTGAATTGTGCCAGCAAGCATCCAGATTCATTGAGGGCATAGAAGGTTGTGTAATTAATTTTATCTCATTAATTAGTAGTTGCTGAGAAACCTGAGGACTATAACGTACTCTTTATGGTCTGGCTGAGGTTTGAACAGATATTTCTTTGGACTAAATGTATAGTAGAGCAAAATGTAATGTAGATCCAGATCCAATATTGCAAGTAAGAATGGAATCCTTGGGGAAGGGGAATTGATCCTCTTCCCATTCTTACCTAAGAAAGTCAAAACAGAGGTGCAGCAATGCTAAGTGAAGAATGTAGCACGTGTAAGAATTCTGTTCCAGCTTAAAATAAGATTCGTACAACATTCCTTATGACATTCTAAACCAATTGGTACCATTGAGGTCAAGAAAGAATACAAGAACCAAAGAAGCTTCAATAATATATGGACCATGGTGTATTTATTGGCCAAAGTATACTTTGCTAATGCTATTGCTACTTGTGCTAGTGATTGTAATCATTATATTGCCATCAATAAATGTGCTGCTTTAGAGAGTTTTGCATCTCTGGATAGTTATTGTATGACATGATCAAATTCGTAATAAAATATATTTGGAATGAAGAATTCTTCAGTGAGCACTTGCCTCTTTCCTTTTTCTTTTTAAAAGAAAGGATTACACTTAGATAACCATTGTCTGTTTTCATTCCACTAAGTCTCAGTGGTACTAATAATACCTATGTTCTCCTGTAGCACCAATACTTACCCAATGAATATTTACATACCCTGTTTCCCCCAAAATAAGACATCCCCTGATAATAAGCCCAATTGGGCTTTTGAGTGCATAGCAATAAGGCCAAGCGCTTATTTCAAGGTTCAAAAAAAAATAAGACAGGGTCTTATTTTTGGGGAAACACAGTAGAAACTCTGCCTGTGACAAAGTTAACCCTTCAACTGAAATAACCCATTACAGTACTTGGGAGACCCTGTTCTCTAGTGTGCATGTGTTTTTTTTAAAGGAAAGAGGGAAATGCTCACTGGAAGAATTCTTCATTCCAAATATATTTCATTACAAGTTGGATCCAGTCATACAATAACCATCTAGAGCTACAAAACTCTACTGATGGTCAGAAAATGATAACACTGCTTTTTTTCTTTTTTGAGCGATTTCTGGACAAGACCATCAGGTTTGAAACAGTATCATCCCTTTCCTTTCTCCTCCGCCATCATGGAGAAGGAAGCTTCCAGAAAACAGATGCATAATTTAAAAGAAAGAGACCTAATCTTTGAGTGATGACAAAATACTTTCTTGCTCTAGAGAACAGGGTCTTCCAAGTAATGGGTTATTCAGTTGAAGGCTTAACTTTGTCACAGAGTTTCTATGCCAGGGGTGTCAAACTTGTGTCGTCATAACTATCACAACTTTCCCCCTTCGCTAAACCGGGCATGGGTGTGGCCAGCGTGTGACGCATCTAGTCCATGGGCCGTGAGTTTGATACCCCTGTTCTAGGCAAATATTCATTGTATAAATATTGGTGCTACAGGAGAACATACGTATTATTAGTACTACAGAGACTTAGGGGAATGAAAACAGCCACTTATCTAAGTGTATTCTTCAAATGGAAAATTAGAGACATTAATGGGGGAAAAAAATAGTTTTAATGGAGAGGAACTTCAAAGTTACAGATAGAGAAACTATGGCCTGCAATAAAACCAAATTAAAATAAATATAGGAAATCTATTTTTTTTAGGAGCACTTTCAGGATTTGTTCACTTAATGACTCATGTTTCTAAACAACTTTGGCCAGAAAATGGTCAGTAAGATACTGATCTACATTTGAAAAAAAAAAAGAGGAAAAAAGAAGAATCTGATGATTTTCTGAGGAGAAGCATTATATAGTGGCCCAAACTCACTCAAGCATCCTATCTATCCTATCCATAGGTTGAAATGAATCCACAGCTCAAGCATCTGTGAAAAAAAAATCCATGAAGCCATGAAGTTATACCCTTATATACCACCAGGGATATAAGGGGATGTTTCACAACCCTATTTGGTAGTGTCAGGTTCTGCACTTCACAGAACAGCTCTCTGAGCTGATTTTCATCGAGCCCAGTGGAAGCATTTTTCTTTTCTATCACTGTCACAATAGAATAACAGAGTTGGAAGGGACCTTGGAGGTCTTCTAGTCCAACCCCCTGCTTAGGCAGGAAACCCTACACCATTTCAAACAAATGGTTATATAATCTCTTCTTAAAAACTTCCAGTGTTGGAGCATTCACAACTTCTGCAGGGAAGTTGTTCCATTGATTAATTGTTCTAACTGCCAGGAAATTTCTCCTTAGTTTTAAGTTGCTTCTCTCCTTAATTAGTTTCCACCCATTGCTTCTTGTCCTGCCCTCAGGTGCTTTGGAGAATAGCTTGACTCCTTCTTTGTGGCAGCCCCTGAGATATTGGAAGACTGCCCTCATGTCTCCCCTAGTCCTTCTTTTCATTAAACTAGACATACCCAGTTCCTGCAACCGTTCTTCATATGTTTTAGCCTCCAATCCCCTAATCCTCTTTGTTGCTCTTCTCTACACTCTTTCTGTCTTCTGCATATCTTTTTTATATTGTGGCGACCAAAACTGGATGCAGTATTCCAAGTGTGGCCTTACCAAGGCATTATAAACTGGTATAATGTAAACAATGTAAGCTTCCCAGAGAGCTCAAAGCTAAACCTGCCTGTGTGTCAGGTTTCGGTGTCATCTCAAATAAATTGCATTTCCAAACAAATAGTCTTTGATGAAATCTTTCATTTATTAAGCACAACAATCTGTCCCCGACTACGTCGTAGCCAACACTGACTTCCTGACCCCAAACCTTCCCTTTCCGTTCCCCAATTCTCTGCATCTCATTGACCATCTTCCAAATCACTCTCCCCATATCTACTACTTCAGCTCCCAGGAATGTCCCCCCTCCCATCCCATCTCCTAGGTGATATTATCTTCAGGGAAAATAAGTAGGTGAAAAGTCAAGCGTCCTCTTGCCAGCTGCCCCCTCTTCTCCTCCTTATGTCAGCACTGGAACGAATGTAGTTTGGAGTGCTGACACTGTGTTTGCTTCTAAATTTATGCTGTTGTCATGTTACTCATTTGCCAAGATGTTCCATGGCCCATAATTCTTTGCAAAACCAAATCTTGGGGCTCAGTGGGCCCCAAGATAGAGGACCTGGGAAGTTGGCTGTTCCAGGATGTTATCATGATGGCCTTGACCATAATGTTTGGGGCATCGGCAATAACATCCACCAGCAAATTCAGAAAATCCCTGAGACTCAGAAAATGTGGCAAGCATTCCTCAGAACTGACCCCATACACCTATGGGAAACAGGTGTGATGCCAACCATTGCAACCTGATCAGATAGATAGATCTGCCCATGACAAAGGAGGCATTTTTGCCTCTCTTAATTATAGATCACTTTTCTCAGTTCAGAAAACCAGATCCAGAGTGTTTCCTGTTTAGTGAACGGGAGCAGATATTGCTTCTGAATGGAAGCCCTCAATATGAGTATTGAATAGATCCACTACTGAAAATAAAAGAATATCCTGGCAAGCAAAGTTCTCCAGCAACCACAAAGGCCGATGGATAGAACAAATTGATCCTTAATTGGGCCAACTGGAGCCCTACAACAACACAGACTGTTCACAAAGAGGAGACATATTCCTTTAACCTGTGGAAAACACTAGATTCTTATATATATAAGACCCTTATATTTTTTTGAAGCCCAAAATAAGCGCTTGGCCTTATTTTCGGGGAGGTCTTATTATTTTGGGGTACGTGGAGGAAGATGGGGCTCCTCTTGCCATCTTACCTGATTTCCAGCTCTGCATTTTAAATATTTTTGGGGAGCGCTTATTTTTGGGGAGAGGCTTATTTTAGCGCATGTGCTCAAAAGCCTGATTGGGGTTATTATTAGGGGATGTCTTATTTTCAGGGAAACAAGGTACCAGAATGTTTTGATTGAGCTTCAGTCTTCTTCTTCAGCAGAACTCCTGCATTCAGATCGATGCTCCACTCTGAGGATATGTCCTCAATGTATTTGGGGCACCTATGGATGAGTTAACCAACGGCCCCAAATTATGCAGGCAACAAAATTAAAAAGGGACGTGAACTCTTGATTTCTCTGGCTACCAGAAGACCAGTATCTGGGTGACCTTAGTTTCATCATTTCACCTACACATACAGTTAATGGGGGCCGAGTTGAAAAAATGTGAAAATGTTAGTGAAAATGTAGTTCATGGCAAGCAAATTCCATGTTAGGAATCATTAGAAAAAGGCCTGTAAATAAATCTGACATTCTAATATGACTCTTTAGATTTTTCTAGGGCAACTGTGTACTTGTGACATTTTAAAAGGGTAGAGCTGGAAAAAGGACAGAAAGGGGCAAATAAATTATTACAAGGCTAAAACATCTTCCGTACAGCAAGAAAGCCCACTGGGGTCTTTTTAAACCTAGAAATGAGGATCAAGAGGAACACAAATGAATTATTTTCTCACTTTACCTCAATATTAGAATCTGGGGTGATTTAATGAAATTAAAAGATTTCTGGAACCAAACACAGTTAATGTACCTTTAAGATCATTTTACTTGGCTGCGATTATCAATTGGGGGGGGAGGGGTTGTTATGTCTTTCCTTCTCTTTTTCTGAAAGTTGCCAGGGCATTTTAAGCAGTCTTGTCTGATTCTGATTGATACAACTAAAACACAGTTGTTTACAGTAGGTAGTCCTTGACTTAATTGAGCCAGGGATTATGGTCATAAGTTAAGCATGTCACCAAATGACTGTGCCCAATTTTACAGCCAGTCAATAAATGCCCCCAACACAATCACGGGATCACAGATTTAATTTTCACCCCATTCTTTTTTTCCTAGATCTCTTTGTGGTCTCTCCTGGTGACTCTGGTGATACTTTTCATTCTCACTGGTACCATGCTCGGTCCTGAACTTCTGTCTACTATTCCTGCCACCGTATATGTAGTAGCTGTGCTGATGCCCTTGGCGGGTTACGGCTGTGGCTACGGGATAGCGACCTTATTTCGCTTGCCCCCACACAGCAAGCGGACGGTGTCCTTGGAAACTGGCTGCCAGAACGTACAGCTCTGTACCGCTATCCTCAAGTTGAGCTTCCCCCCACAGTTCATTGGGAGCATGTATATGTTTCCTTTACTCTACGCCCTCTTTCAATCCGCTGAAGCTGGGCTGTTCGTACTGGCTTACAAGATCTACGGAAAGGATTCGTACAAGCAAGAGCCTCTCGGAGGAGATAACGAAGAAGAGACAGATGTTTCTTACAAGAAACTGAAGGAAGAAGAAATCCCAGAAATGTCTTATGGCACAGTAATTGCTGGAGATCGTGGTCTGGTGGTTATGGAGCCGACGCAGACTGTCCTCTAGAGGAAGAAAAGATCTTTTTTAAAAAAGAACATCCTGTGTTGAAATAAACTGGTCAGCCAAGTAGGAGAAACAACAGGGATCCTGAGCATTTGTTGTTATGTTGGGTTTTCTCACTGTGCTTGGAAGTTATTGTTTTCACAAACTGCACAACTGTATAAATCTCTTCAGCTGTTCTCAGAAAATGATGCCATCATCACATCAGCACACCAGAAAAGGGAAAGGAACAGGAGAGAGAGGAGAGAGAGAGGGAAAGGGAGAGAGAGAGAGAGAGAGAGAACATATTGATGAATGTATTTGATAACTATAAATCTTCGGCATCAACTGCATTTGCTGTTAAAAAAAACAAGTCGTGTACCTTGTGTATTATTCAGCTTCTACATTGGAAAGATTGAAGTAAAGTTGTGTGTGTTTATGACTGATTAAATTACTTGCAAATATGACAAGCCATAAAGAAATTTATCTGAGACTCATCTACAGTTCAGAACAACTTCTTCCATGGGAAGTAGAAAAACCTCCTAGACAATAAAAATTATATGTTTTCCTACTGGGATTAATTCTTTATGACAGATATTCAGGAGAGGAAAACTGATTGGAGGCAATCTTGTTTAAACAAAAAAAAAAAAAAAACCACTGGGTCTTACTTTAACTGCAACAGCTGTCCAAGACCTCAATCTTTCTCCTAGCTGGGATATACACTGCTAAAAAAAATAGAACACAAGCAGAAGACATCCGAGATCTGAATGAATGAAATAGCCTTATTAAATACTTTGTTACATACAGTAGTTTTGTGTTCCCTTTAGTTGTTTGAGCAATGTATAAACTACTGTATGTAAAGAACAAAGTATTTAATAAGGCTATTTCATTCATTCAGGTCTCTGATGTCTTCTGCTTGTGTTCCCTTTATTTTTTTGAGCAGTATATTTTGAATGCATTCTAGAGGAGGTAGGATGGGGGAAGAGAGGTCATCCAGTCTATCAAAAAAGAGATAACCCCCAAGTACATACATCAGGCAAAATTAGTCTACTGAACTCAGGAGGATTTTTTAAAAATTCCAAACATGCCTGCCTGCATGTATCTTGTCCTTTTATGTACACTGAGAGCGTATGCATCCAGACAAATTCCTTGTGTGTCCAATCACACTTGGCCAATAAAGAATTCTATTCTATTCTATTCTATTCTATTCTATTCTATTCTATTCTATCTATTCTATTCTATTCTTTCTATTCTATTCTATTCTATGACTATCATTAAGTGTTGTACCTTACGATTCTTGATGAATTTTATGTGCACTGAGAGCGTATGCACCAAAGACAAATTCCTTGTGTGTCCAAACACACTTGGCCAATAAAGAATTCTATTCTGTTCTGTTCTGTTCTGTTCTGTTCTGCTCTGCTCTGCTCTGCTCTGCTCTGCTCTGCTCAGGAATAAATTCCGTTGTTTCAAATCACTACAGTTTAAAAGGAATTTTAGGGTATAATAACCAAACAGCCGCTTAATATCTCTAAAACATTTCTATTACTGTTATTCACAATTTAAATCTGAAGCAAAATGACAATCAAATATAAGGGATCTCTCTGCAAAAATCAATGCTACAGTGCGCACACAAAATCATTGACTGAAAGAATCCCAAGTAACACCTAGGATACTTAGTATCCTTGCACATAGTTAGTATATCTAGTTGTCATTGATTCAAAGCTATCTCCGTCCATTTGTAGCCACACCTGATCAATGATAAAATGAATTCGGTGCAATTTCTTTTTTTTTTTTTCCTGCATAAATGCATCGGAGAACCGCAGCCTCCCCCTCCCCTTTTTTTTGTCTTTTTTTTCGTTTTTCATCCATGCTTGCCTAACGGGAATGCAAGATCATTCACTGCGACTCATCATTAAACCGCCTTTTCTTTTTCACTAACGGTTACTAGATTTGACAAGTGGATCCTGGGTGTCTTTTTTGCCCTGAAGAAGCAACTTTTTCACTTGCGTTTCCTCCAAGCGAGGATTCCCAGCAAGGCGGCAATCCCGACAGGATGTTTAAACTAGGTTAGGTTCCCGACAGGAAACCCTGTTTAAAGCTAGGTTAGGTTCCCGATAGGAAACCCTGTTTAAACTAGGTTAGTTCCTGACAGGAAACCCTGTTTAAACTAGGTTAGATTCCCGACAGGAAACCCTGTTTAAAGTAGGTTAGGTTCCCGACAGGAAACCTTGTTTAAAGTAGGTTAGGTTCCCGACAGGAAACCCTGTTTAAACTAGGTTAGGTTCCCGACAGGACACCCTGTTTAAACTAGGTTAGGTTCCCGATAGGAAACCTTGTTTAAAGTAGGTTAGATTCCCGACAGGAAACCTTGTTTAAAGTAGGTTAGGTTCCCGACAGGAAACCTTGTTAAAGTAGGTTAGGTTCCCGACAGGAAACCCTGTTTAAACTAGGTTAGGTTCCCGACAGGACACCCTGTTTAAACTAGGTTAGGTTCCCGATAGGAAACCTTGTTTAAAGTAGGTTAGGTTCCTGACAGGAAACCCTGTTTAAACTAGGTTAGATTCCCGACAGGAAACCTTGTTTAAAGTAGGTTAGGTTCCCGACAGGAAACCCTGTTTAAACTAGGTTAGATTCCCGACAGGAACCTTGTTTAAACTAGGTTAGGTTCCTGATAGGAAACCCTGTTTAAACCAGGTTAGTTCCCGACAGGAAACCCTGTTTAAACTAGGTTAGATTCCCGACAGGAAACCTTGTTTAAACTAGGTTAGGTTCCCGATAGGAAACCCTGTTTAAACTAGGTTAGGTTCCCGACAGGAAACCCTGTTTAAACTAGGTTAGGTTCCCGACAGGAAACCTTGTTTAAAGTAGGTTAGGTTCCCGACAGGAAACCCTGTTTAAACTCGGTTAGGTTTGTTTTGTTGAAACGCACAACGGCATCTCTCTAGGTGGGCTACATTAAACCAGGATATCGCGGCTTTCCTCCCCACGCGCGGGAGGATCGCCGGCTTCTCTTCTCCCCTTCTCCTTTTCCCTTCCCTTCCCAGCTGAGCCGAGTGTCTCATTTGGGGAGAGCGCAGGCTCCCAGGCCCGCCCCGCGGGAGATTTAAACGCGCCTCCCGGGCGGAAGGGCCCACTTTCCGGGCGCGATGGCGACTTTGCTGGACGAGGCCATGGAGAGCTACGCTTATCCCTCGTACAACCCTTATTCCTACCGCTACCAGCCGCCCAAGAGCAAAGGAGGGCAGGGCGCCTGGCGGCACTACCAGCACCACCAGCACCACCAGCAGCCGCACCACCAGCACCACCGCAGCAGCAGCGGCGGTTACTTCTCCGGTTACAGCGAAGCGGTGGCGGCGGCGGCGGCGGCCGAATACTTCGACAACTACCAGCGGGCGCAGCTGAAGGCCATCCTCTCGCAGGTCAACCCCAACCTGACGCCGCGGCTGCGCAAGGCCAACACCAAGGAGGTGGGAGTGCAGGTCAACCCGAGGCAGGACGCCTCGGTGCAGTGCTCGCTCGGGCCGCGCCCGCTGCTCTTTCGCTCCCGGCCCGCGGAGGAGGAGGAGGAGGAGGAGGCGGCGGCGTCGAGCAAGAACAAGGCTGCCCGGTTAGCGGCGGCGTCGCCGCGCGGCACGTGCGCTTCCCCCGGACCATCGCCGTCTACTCGCCGGTGGCCTCCCGACGCCTCACCGCCTTCGTGGAAGAAGCCGAAAGCCGGGAGCTTTCGTCTACGCCGCCCCAGCCCCCGCCCCCGGGCCTCGAGGGGGAAGTCGGGGAAGCCGCCGCCGCCGCCTGGCGCAAAGCCGAGGAGAGCGACGTCGAGTCCCAGGAGCGGAAGAAAGCGGCCTCGGTCCCCGACGGGGCGGGCGGTTCGCCGTCGAAGCCTCAAGCAGCCGGCAGCGCGGCCCAAAAGGAGGAGGAGGAGGAGGAGGAGGAAAAAAAGTGGAAAGGCGAAGGCGGGAAAGCCGCCACACCGCAAGCGGCCTCGGGAGGAAGCCGGGCCGAACAAGGCCCGCATGCGCTTCCAGGTGGGTTCCTCGACGGGTCCCGGCTGTCCGTCGACACCAGGCCTCAGGAGCCTCCCCGCAACCCAGCAGGCCTCAGGCACCCGCGTTCCCCCGTGCAGGGCGTGGTCGAAAAGCCCCGACGGCGGCCCGAGCGACGGGCCGTCGAGGTTTCCCCCATTCACCCCGTTGCCCCCGAAGCCGCTTCTGTGTAGAGAGGTATTTTTCTCCACCTCAGCAACTTCAAGATGCATGGACTTCGATTCCCAGAATTCCCTAGCCAGAATATGGGCTGGAGAATTCTGGGAGTTGAAGTCCACACACCTCAAATGTGTGGAGGTTGAGAAACACTGGTGTAGAGAGAAACTGGAGGGGGGAGCTGCTTCGCTCCCCCAAACACGGAACGGGGGAGGTTCCCCACAATTAAGTGTAGGCCCACCCCGTGTTTGTTCTTTCTTGAAGATGGGGGTCTCCAACCTTGGCAACTTTAAGCCTGGCGGACTTCAACTTCCAGAATTCCCCAGCCAGCAGAGCAGATCAGAGCTGGCTGGGGAATTCTGGGAGTTGAAGTCCGCCAGGCTTAAAGTTGCCAAGGTTGGAGACCCCTGCTTTAAGAACTTGGCTTAAAATCCAAAGCCCTTTACGCGCAGAAGGGGGATTTAGCAAAAGAAAGGGTGGTAGTAGGTAGAGAGGGATTTCTTCCCTCTGGCTGAGGAAAGAGTAAGCCAAGACTTGCCTTTCTTAACTTTTTTTTAAAAAATGCTTTTAAAGGAAAACCAGGAAAAGGATTCAGACCCAAATTTGGGCTGGCTGTTTCAGACAATAACGTTTCAGCCGTTAAAACACTAGAAGTGATGAATCTCCTAGTAGTAGTGGAATCCCTGGTGCTGTTCACACCTTATAAACTAAGTTTAGCAGACTTCCTGGTTTATTTCTATCTATTCATTCATTCATTCATTCATTAGTCCAATTTATATGCCACCCTTCTCCGTAGACTCAGGGTGGCTTACAATGCATTATAGCAATAGCCTGCATACTTTTATGTATATACCTGCTTAGTAGGGCTTTCGCCCTCCCCCTAAGCGGTGTTCTTTTTTTTTATACAAAGTCAGCTTATTGCCCCCACAATCCGGATCCTCAATTTACCTACCTCGAAAGGATGGAAGGTTGAGTCAACCTTGAGCCTGGTGAGATTTGAACTTGCACTAATTGCAGGCAGCTGGCAGCTAAGTGCTAGCACTTAACAGCACTTTAGTCTGCTGCACCACTTCTATGACTCTTAAGCCATGATACGGTTTACTCCTTTGTTAGCTAGGTATGATTTGTGAATCCAGCAAGTGTAGTTTGTACAGTTGCTCATGACATATTTAGGGCGTTCAGTTAAAGCTTGACAATCTGAAGCAAACTTTAAAAGAATTATTAACTGAAATAGATGGTTAAGACCAGTAGTGGGATTCAATTTTTTTTACCACTGGTTCTGTGGGTGTGGCTTGGTGGGCGTGGCATGGCTTGGTGGGCTTGCCTTGGTGGGCATGGGGGAGGGAAGGATACTTCCCCCAAAGTTGGGCCAAAGTTATGTAATTCTTTTAATAATTTTAAATTTTGTATTGGTATGTGTTTTAGTTCTGGCTGTGCACCACTCTGAGTCCACTAGGAGAAAGGCGGCATACAAATAATAATAATAATAATAATAATAATAATAATAATAATAATAATAATACTGTAAAATCTCCATTCCCTCCCCACTCCAGGGGAAGGATACTGCAAGATCTCCATTTCCTCCCGATCAGCTGGGACTCGGGAGGCAGAGAATAGATGAGGGCGGGGCCAGTCAGAAGTGATATTTACCAGTTCTCCGAACTACTCAAAATTTCTGTTACCAGTTCTCCAGAACTGGTCAGAACCTGCTGAAACCCACCTCTGGTTAAGATCCTTGCAGTATCCCCATAGTCGTGTGGGTGTGATTTGGACACTTGGCTGACATTTACAGCGGTTGCAATTTCCTAGAGTCATGTGATTGCCTTTTGCCAACCTCCCCAGCAAGCTTCCGACACACACAATCGATGAAGAAGCTGGCAGGAAGGTTGCAAGTCATAGCAACTGCTCTGCTTAACAACAAATATTCCAGTCCCAATTGTCGTAAGTTGAAGACTATCTCTTCAGTCCTCTTCAGAATGAGCATCTTGTTCTGTCTTGACTGCCTTGGCAACTTTGATGTCTGGACTTCAATTCCCACAATTCTGGTGGAGGAATTCTAGGGACTGAAGTTCACGTCTCTTAAAATTGCCCAGACTGAAGATCATTGCTGTGTTAGGTGGTTCTTTTGGTTTATTGTGTTTGTTTGTTTTGATTTTTAGTGTACGCTGCACAGAACCTTATTATGAGTTGGGCAGCCCTTAAAATCCAATAAATAAAAAATGAATGCATAAGAACTGCAAAAAAAATTCTGACTGGGATTTGAAGGAGTTCCAATCCAAGGATCTTACCAGGTCATTGGGTTGAGGAAAGTTGTTGTAGGATGAATGTAGTGGAGGACTTATTTATTTATTTATTTATTTATTAAATTTGTATACCACCCTTCTCCTTTCGGACTCAGGGTGATGAACAGCCAAAATAAAAACATTTGTACACAAAAGTTAAAATAATTATTTAAAACTAATTAAATAGAATTTGGCCCATAATTTAAAACATATCAATTTTTTTAAAAAAATTTGATTTATATGCCGCCCTTCTCCGGAGACTCAGGGCGGTTTACAATGTGCTCAGCAATAGCCTTCATCCTTTTGTATATTTATACAAAGTCAGCTTATTGCCCCCACAAACTGGGTCCTCATTTCACTTACCTTAGAAAGGATGGAAGGCTGAGCCTGGCGAGATTCGAACCTGCAGTAATTGCAGGCAGCTGGTCTTAATAGCCAGCTTAATAACAGGGTGCCTTAGACCACTGTACTACCAAGGCTCTTGGTAGTTAATTAAAATCAATATCAAATGTTAAAACCAACATGGAATCAGGCCAGCCCGGCTAGCTGAAAAAAGTAAGTTTTTAGGGCCCTAAAACTTACAGTAGTAGTCTTTTTTTAACCTCTGTGTTTTCTAGTTCCTAGAGCAGAAGTATGGCTATTACCACTGCAAGGATTGCAATATTCGATGGGAGAGTGCCTATGTCTGGTGCGTACAAGGCACAAACAAGGTAGGCCTTCACCACTACAATAAGTTGGGTTAGTATTCAGGGTTTAGTGATGCGGTGTAGACCAGAGGTCCCCAACTTCTGGGTTGAAGCCCGCTATTGGACTGTGACCCATTGGGAGCTGGGCTGCTGAAGCAGCAGGGAAGCGTGTGTAAACTTTCTTTGCACACACATGGGATTTAGGTTGTGTGTGTGAAGCCATTCCCCCACCCCCCCACTGGCAAAACCGCTGGTGGTCCATGGAACCAAAAAGGTTGGGGACCCATGTTGTAGATCACAAGCTTCCTGATGTTCCAGCAGCAACTTTGGCTGGCATCTTTAGAGGCAAGCAAGGTGGTCCTGCCGATAATGTCAGGAAATCTCCCAAATCCTAACACTGCCCAAGGTAGACTTTGTTTGCTGGAGGTGGTGATGGGAGATCATCCTGCCCTGGAAAAAAAGGTTACCTTAATCTCACCCGTGGAACAGAAGTTGCCTTCGGAAGTTGTGGGAGCTTCATCGCTGGAAGCTTTGAAGAAGAGATTGGACTGCCATCTTGTCAGAAATGGGGTCGGGTCTTCCTGCTTGGGCAGGGTGAGGTGCGGGTTGGACTAGATGACCTACAAGGTCTCTTCCAACTCTGTTATTCTGAAACAAAAAGTATATTCTCTTTTCTTTCCGCAGGTTTACTTTAGGCAAAAAAGTATATTCTCTTTTCTTTCCGCAGGTTTACTTTAGGCAGTTCTGCCGAACTTGCCAGAAGTCTTACAACCCGTACCGGGTGGAGAATATTACCTGCCAAGTAAGCAGAGCCTTTTAGGACATCATTTAAGGTAGAAGGTCCATGGGCTTCCACTGCATGAGCTTAGTTAGGTCTGCATGGTTCCTCTCGTTATTTAAAAACAAAGGTATTTGAATCCTTTCCTTTCAACCAGGCCTCTGAAACGAAACAAAGTTGGAAGGGCGCTAGTGAGGAATCCAAGCAGTAAGTTTTTGCTCCCAAATGCAACTGTTCTGATGTTAAAAAGAAATTCTTAATCTCACCATGTGATGTTCCTTAACTCCATTAAATGTATGTCTGCAGATAAAAAATTTCAGCTGCCCTAAAATTAAGATCCGTTTTGATCGCTCCATTTAGTTTGCTTGACTGCAGATGAAACTGCTTTGCTCCTACTTTCTGGGATTTTATTACTTCCCAATCAAGCCCTGAGATTCCCTAGTAATCTCTCACCCAGGTACAGATCTGGTTTTATCTTATTTAATTTTGGGAAAATGAGTGAAGACTGGCCAATTGCTCCCAAGCACTGCACTTATTGGTGGAGTCAGCGGACTGAATCCACCAATTAGTGGATTGGCAGGTGACACTAATTGGTGGATTCAGAAATCTATAAAATAAAATACCGGTAGATTCTGGGTGTGTTTTTCACACCCAGAAACAGGAAAATGTTTTTCAACTTAGAAATATTTTCACTTTGAAGGTGTATGAATTTTTTTGCTCTGTAAAGTACATTTGTCTCCTTAAAGTATATGCTCGCGTATGATAAACCTGTGTTAATATCTCATTTGGTAGAACCAAGATGAAAAGTAGAAGTTTATTCTGAAATCTTAAAATATTTTTGGTATTTCAGGTGATATTAGTTCATAAAAATTATGTTTTCAATGAATTAGGAATGGATCAGTGGTGGGATTCAAATTTTTTTACTACTGGTTCTGTGGGCGTGGCTTGGTGGGCGTGGCAGGGGAAGGATATTGTAAAATCTCCATTCCTTCCCCAATCCAGGGGAAGGATACTGCAAAATCCCCATTTCCTCCCGATCAGCTGGGACTCAAGAGGCAGAGAATAGATGGGGGCAGGGCCAGCCAGAGGTGGTATTTACCGGTTTTCCGAACTACTCAAAATTTCTGCTACCAGTTCTCCAGAACTGGTCTGAACCTGCTGAATACCACCTCTGGAATGGATAAATTTAAATATTCCCAGTTAACCTAGTTTTTTTAGACTGGTATTATGAACTGCACAACTGAAAAGGGTGTATATAGATTTTAATGTGGGGATTTTGAGCATTAGCATATCGGAGACTTCATAACTTTCCTACATAATAAAACTGAGGTAAATAGAACGCCTCAAGTCAGACTTCCTTCTTTGCAGGAATTCTTGAATATAGGAAGCACGTAGTTTAATCCTCTTTTTCCATATCCGTTTGTTCTTTCTACTGCCACATCCTTGACATATAAAAGGCTTCCCTCTTGTTAGGCTATCTGAGAGCAGGGAAAAATTTTGAGCTTTGTAATAACCATCTAGATCAGGGATCCTCAAACTTGGCAGCTTTAAGACTTGTGGACTTCAACTCCCAGAATTCTCCAGTTGAAGTCCACAAGTCTTAAAGCTGCCAAGTTTGAAGACCTCTGATCTAGATGAATGTTTCTCAGCTTCAACAATTTACCACTTCCTTGGAGCAGATGTTTCAATGCTACTACAACTACGATTGCAACTACTAACAATAATATGCAATCTTAGTCATCCCGCTTGCAACCGAACAGTAGGCATAAATACAGAAAACACTGACCTCCGTCGTATTGTCAACGTTTTGTTCCTCTGGAATTCATCTACAGATCCAAGTCGCTTTTATTTTCAGTTACCCTCTTGCTTTTTTGTGTTGTCGATTTCAGACCTGCAAACAAACCAGATGTTCCTGCCCCGTAAAAGTGCGCCATGTGGATCCCAAGAGACCTCATCGTCAAGATCTTTGCGGAAGATGCAAAGGCAAACGGCTCTCTTGCGATAGCACCTTTAGTTTCAAATATATTATTTAAGGAAAGGACACTGTCAAATTGTACTGAGCAGAAATTTTGTTTGGAAGTAGGAGGCTGCCAGGAGTGGGAAGCCTGCCAAGGAGGCTGAGAAGTGAATCAGGATGGAACCAAAACATCTACCTCTTTTGTTATAATTGCATTAAAGGAGCAAGGGAATCTGCTCGGTGTATTCTGACAAACTTACTTTTTATTTTGGTATGGCAGAAGCGGTCAAAGCAAGCTCAGTCTTTGTTGTTGTTATGTGGGAAGGAAACAGTCTTAATTTCTTCATAGGAGAAGCTGCTCTAGACAGAGGAATGCACTGCGAGTCAACCTCAGGCCAAATATGCAACTGTTATGGTAATGTTTCACGGTGACAATTGCCAATGCAGGCAAGCAAACCTTAACGGGAAAAGTTTTAGTTGTGATAGCACACTGTTGAAAGAACTCAAGTAGGATGGGAAGAAGCCATCACAAATTGCCAGAATTCAGAACTTGTACTGCAGCGCACGGTGTTGTCTTCCATCTTGTCTCCAGCTGAGTAAAACGATATAATTGTTTGGGTGCCAGGTTCATAGGCATTATTATGGAAATGGGTAGAAAAGGGAGCATAATCTCAGCAGCACACCTATGAAAGGAATTATTTTGTTGGTCGGTAATAATGCATTGCATAGATAATGCATCATTGAAGTTTAGAAACAACTCAGATTTCCTTTGCCCAGAGTCAATATGGTAATTTCATTATTTTCTTGAGCATAGATCTCTTAATAAAGTGACCATGATTATAATTGTGAGTTATTTCTACTTTTTTTCCTCCTCTTTGCTTAATGCTTATATGCATGCCAGACCTAAATAAGTCATTTTAAGTTTAAATAAGTCATTTATTCTTTTTTCTTAAAAATACACACATTTAATGTTGAATTTGAATTCTAGAAAACAGTTCCAGCAATACAATAGAGCCTTGGTACTACAGTGGTTTAAAGCACCCTGTTATTAACACAGCTGCCTGCAATTACTGCTGGTTCGAATCTCTCCAAGGCTCAAGGTTGACTCAGCCTTCCATCCTTTCTAAGGTAGGTGAAATGAGGACCCAGTTTGTGGGGGCAATAAGCTGACTTTGTATAAATATACAAAAGTATGAAGGCTATTGCTTAACGCACTGTAAGCCGCCCTGAGTCTCCGGAGAAGGGCGGCATATAAATCAAATTTAAAAAAAAAAAAATACAAACGTGTCAGAGTCAAGGTGGTGCAGTGGTTAGAGTGCAGTACTGCAGCTACTTCAGCTGGCTGCTAGATCAGCAGATCAGCAGATCAAATCTCACCGGCTCAAGGTTGACTCAGCCTTCCATCCTTCTGAGGTGGGTAAAATGAGAACCCAGATTGTTGGGGGCAATATGCTAATGCTAATGCAATATGCAATATGCTAACTTTATAAACCGCTTAGAGAGGGCTGTAAAGCACTATGAAGCGGTATAGAAGTCTAAACAATAATAATAACCACCATGACAAAATGAAAAATGCATCCACTATTAAACTGATACTTTATCACATTCCCTCCCCTACCAGATTCCAATAGATTCCAATCTTGTACGGAAGCCCTACTGCAAACACTGCTGGTGTTCAATGTGAATTACAAAAATTGCAGAAAAAGAAAATTTAAAAACTGGTTGTGAATTACAACAAAACTACATTTTGCATTATTTCAAAAGACCAACATTCAAAAAGTAACCTCCTGCTATGAAAATATTGTAGCTATAGGCAAGGCAACTTAATAGCTGAGATTGAGTAAATGGAAGAGACCCACATTTTTAGTTGAAGGCAAGCAGAAGTAAATTTTAATTTTCACCTTTGTTCAACTAAATTTTAAATAAGTCATTTAAAAGTTCCATATAATAACCACTGATTCCTTCGGTGCAAAACTGTGTGAATGATGGTTCGTGTAAGCATTCTATAACTTGGACAACTATTCAGTTTTTGGTTTCTAGGAATGCTCAGTCTAAGTGTTAGCAAAGGGAGGAGATTAATAATTGATTACTAACTCTTAATATAGTAATAAGGCTTTTGGGTTGACTGAATTCTTCTGTCATTCAGATTAGTTGTAAGATGTTTATTTGTGGAGTCTATACTAGACCAAGAAGAAACTGGAACCAGTTTATAAGAACTGAAGATATGCTGCTTAAGAAAGTTATTCTGAAATAATGAAGGTGGTGTTCAGACTGTTAGAATAATTTAAATGCAATAGGAAGTGGGCAGTCTCTCTTCCAGTTTTCACTGACTGCAATCTGCTTGTTGACATTCAACCAGGATTGAAATTCTCAGGTTCCATCAGAGGCCGAGGGGGAAAGGGTTCACTTGAATGCAACCAATCTCTCATCACTAAACTTTGCTTTTTGAATTGGAGGGGTTGGAAAATGTATTTTTTTTAAAAATTGCAGCTTGGAGCAATTAATTTTTATGGAAAGCTGCAGAACATTCATGATGCTTAGTGTAGGTAAAGCAGAATTTCTCAACCACGGCAACTTTTAAGATGTGTGAAATTCAATTTGCAGAATTCCCTGCCCTGCATGGCTGGTTGGGATTCTAGGAGTTGAAGTCCATACGTCCTAAAGTTGCCAAAGTTGAGGAACACTGATGTCAAGGTTTTTCCGCAGACTGGAGAAGGTGTGGTTTTGCATGCTGCCTGCACTCCACGGATGGGGCTTCGCTTCTTTGCGCGGCCCGGTTGTTGGCATGCTGCGGACAGGTGCCGATCCACGGATGGGGACCTGTGATTTAGGTCATTTTATGTAGCACTTACGCAAATGTTTGTGAAAACCTGTATGCTATTATGGCAACTCAAATTTTGCACACACACGGAAGGGCACACACTGAAAGTGAGAGCAGGATCTGGTTTTGAGCCCTTTTCAACACTTTTCATGGTAAAGGTCTTAATACGCTTAAAAACTCTATAAAAATTAGCAATGAAATTAGCATTCATAAGTAGCCAATACTATTCTGCCAATTAACCAAGACAAATTCTATTTCTCAGACTGTTTATGGGAATCTCAATAGGAAACGGGCATCATGAGTCGAATTACTGATCCAGGCAGCTGATAAATTTTTTAGTCTGGGGGCCTGGACCCAAGTCTTTCCACAGGTGGGGAATTTTCAACTTATAAAATGTAATCAGGGAACATTAGAAAATAACCATTTTGTCATTACGAATGATCAAGCTAAGCTCTCCAATTATAACTTTGCTTTTAAAAAGATTAATTCCGAAAAAGCCAAATACGATGTGAAGCTCTGGAAGCACCAATCCCGTTAATTGTTTTGGAGATGCTTCCCTCGCCACTCAAGTTCTTCAGCACAAGCCTCTGTTTTGCACTAGGCATGTACAAGTCTCTCAAATGCAAAGCAGGGGCAGTCTGTTTATATGCATACTCCATGGTTAAAAATAAGGGTTTCAAAAATAAGTATATGGCATTAAACACAATGTTATATCAAGTATTCTCCACCAGATTGCAACCCTTACATTCTTTGAGAAAGTACACAAAAGAGTAGATTGACATTTTTATTTGAACAAGCCCCCCCTAAAAAACAAAACACACATGCAAAGGAGAATGATAAAATATGTAAAAATTATACAACTAAAAACTACATGTATACGTGTAATGGGTTATTAAATAATTAAGAACGCAACCTAAAGTACCACAGAAACTTCAAAAAAAATAATTCAATTTTACCAGGATAAAAAAAAAAATGACTATGAATGTGCTATATATATCTTGTTAACAGAGTTTTGAAATGGAACAAAATTTGTGCTATCTGTCCAACAGTTCTGTAAATGCACTTCAATTAATGCATTTCAGCATAACTACGTATTTAACGGGATCCATTTCCCCAATGAAAAAAGCCCACACTAACTCTTTTGTGTTTTACTCCCTGGAAACTTGTTTTATTTTTAATCACAGTGCATGAAAGATACATAAAATATTGGGGATTCAATTGGTTTGAATAGAGGAATTACATTCACCCTTTTTGCTTCGTTAAAATGTTTTTGGTTTGAGTGGAATCCAGTTACTTTTATGCTACATGCTTGGAGAAGGAATTACAAGGCTGACTTTTGGGATCCGTAGGCTGCGTTCTCGCCCAATGCCTTTGCTTAAAAGAGAAATCATGGAAAACATGCCTGCTTAAACTTTCTCTTGAACTCTGCGGAACAACAGATATAAACACTGTCCTATCTTGCCCCCCCCCAAAAGCTTTGAACACTATTCTCAAATAAAACATCATTGAACATTTATACAAAAAATACTGGATTTTACACTATACAATTTCTAGAATATGTACAGAATAAAATAAGTTATTTTTTTTCTAGTGAGTTCTGAGGGACAATAGGTATCTTTAATATACATTTTTAAAGTCTCTGCAAGCAGCTACTTTTTGGTTAGTTATCAGTTATTTGTTATAAGCACTGATCAGAAAACTGAGCAGCATTCCAAACCAGTTAGAGATATATTATTCCTTTTTTTTTAAAAAAACAAACAAACCTGGATAATTCCAGTTTTAAATATTATTAAACTCCAGAACATTTACAGACTAGGAATTAAAGCTAAAAATATATATATTTTTTTCCAAAAATAATCTTGCAGTGCTTTTTTTCGGCATGCTCAAACTTTATCAAACATTCATATCCTCAAAATATGATGATTGGATAGCCATTCATTCCTACTTGCACGCATAAATTTTATCATTACAGGCAAAAATAGAATAAATTGTAAATACAATATTGATAAATCAATGGATTTTGCAGTCTTTTATATTCCGGTATAATACAGCACATTCCTCATGACACTGTCAAAATTATGAATTAAACATTATTTGACTATTTACTGTCTAAAAGCCAGAAAGTTTTTACAGGTCTTCAGCCAAAACATCCACTGTTCATTTTAGCCTCATTTCACCTGCTTTAATTATCTCCAAGTTAAGAGGCTATTATTGCAACTCCATGTACTTTCCGTTTATGACCAAAAAAAATGCATTTTAAAGGCATTGCTTTTAGCCCTTTTCTCTAATGCAATTTTTTAAAGAGTTCGTATTACTGATACTAGGTAAAAAAAAAAAAGCATTAAATATGATGTCAGCTGTTTTGAGAACTGTTACTAAGCTATGCAACTTGTTTCTAGAAAAGTTCTTCCCTGGAGAATAGAACAGTTTCATTCGATATGAAAGGTGCTTGATAAAAGGGACTCCCTCCCCGCTTTTCAGTCTTCTTCTGAGGAACAGTGGTTCAAAATCCTGTACTGAGATTTCTCACAGCCGTGTGTTTTGCAAGAAGCTGGTACGACTGCACCACGTGCAGGGATTCCCGAATCTCTAAATTCAGTTCCATTAATTTTGAGCTGGCTTCTGACATATCCTGTTTTGAGCCAACTATTGCAAAACTGCCAGTCTGGCCGAGGGTCTGGTGACGGAAAAATATGTGCAAGAGGGTTTGAATCGGATCCTCTTCGGAATCGCCAAATATGTCATTGGGCCAAATGCACCTAGGGACACAGAAATTAAGTTATTAGTCACTGTTCTTTTTTTTTTATTGAAAAAGTTTTTCAAATACAAATTTTCCCCCTTTTTTTCCCCCCCTCCTCCCTAACCCCCCCTCCCCCTCCCCTCCCCCTGTGGCTTCTTCAAAATAAAACCCAAATTCATAACAGATTATATAATACTTTACCATCCCCTTACTCCATCCCCCATATACTGACCCTTTCTTTCTAATAATATTATTATATCCCCCTTATACTATACATTTCAA